TAGGGAAAATTATATTTACACACACACAAACACAAACACACTCTTCTAGGAGGAAACATTTGATTGAATTGAGATTCCTTAAATGACATTGGCATTTCAAGATTAAATATATAAAGAACACTGAAGCCATAACATGAGTGCACTTTTGGTTACAATAAAAGCAATAAAGCAATCTATGTATTTCATTTATCACTGTTCACTTTTATCATTTATCCCAGACTATTATAAAATATATAAAACTGAGACATGAATTATCAGTAGTGTAATTTTGTACTTTAACTTTCAGCTACAGATTTTGCTTTTAGAAAACTTTCAAAGCAGATTTTTTCCCCTTTGTTAAAGGTTCTGTAAATGCATATACTTGCATCCCTGATGGACTTATCTGTGAATTTCAAACATTTTTCCAACATTTTAATCCTCAAATAATTCAACAAACAAATCTTCATTGTGCCTTGTTTACCTTCATGCTTCCAGACAGGATAGTTGAGTTTATGCTTTAAAATAATACATGTATGCATATTCATATTTTTAAGAATAATTAATTACCTTTAAATTGTGGAATGACTCTACGAGATCAAGTAGGAAAATTTGGCACATTTCAAACAGTATTCTTTAGGTTTCAAGAAATTGTGTAACACAATGTAATTTCCCACTGTGATCTACTGGTGCTATCCACATAAGTGGGAGTTGTTAGTAGCAAGAATCACGGGAATATTTCTAGTAAATCAACAGGGACAAGTTCCCTACATACAACCAAAGGCTGATATAGAAGTAAAAATATATACAGTACAGTCACTCATTTGTAGTTTGGCACAATGCTTTCTATTTCTTCTTTGTGAATAATTAGTGCTTAAACTACTTGTGCAACTCTATGACGTGTTAAGTCTTTTACACAGCATATCAGATTAAATTTTGCTTCCAAAGACTTATCTTCACAACTTAAAATTTTTTTGAAGCACTTACATGTCAACATACATACCACAAGGCATATTTTGAAAGAAATACAAAACAAACATCAAATGTCTTTCTGGAAAAGTTGAGTGTCTTCTTCAAATACAGGTAAAACCCAAAATGCTGTTTCTGCTTTTAGAAGATTGTAGTTGGAATCCCTGCAGGAAAAAAAAAACCAAACAATTTATGTAATTTTAGTTAGCTTTTTCATATGTCTCACAAAGGGATCATACAATCTAAATTTATTAATATAATATTAGAAGCTATATAATGGGGAAAAAATACAGATTGGAAAGACTATTAGAAAACACTCTAAATTGCCATGCAATGAGATCTTATTTTCAAACTACGCTCTTTTTGTTTCAGTGATCTTAACTTTTTGTCTACATGACTTTTTAAATTCTGTTACTCAAAATCTGTCTTAATGCAAAGCACTTTCCAAATTCATTCAAGAATATATTTTACTACTATTTCTTAATAAGCAAAAACTTATGTTGAATAGCCAAGCCCAAATAAAATTACCTAGTCATTAGCTTTCTAGAGACAAAAATGAGGCACTGCTGGCCTACCATGTAGTAAGAAAGCTAAGGTATATCATTTGAGCTATTTTGGTACTGCATTACCTCAGTTTTTCAAAAGAAGTTGTCCCAGACTCATCCTTGTGGATCTGTTCTCGCTCCACGTGTTTTCCTTTACACTTTTCATCTCTCAGGACCTTTGAGCTGGATTTATGACGGTATAATTTTTTGTGTGTTGGTCCATTATTGCCTAACGTGCTCAGGTTATTATACTTCTTATCAAAGAAGGCAGATCGAGAATCCTCATTATAACTAAGTATGTTTGCACAGCCAGGATCATGTAACAATGGTTTCCCATTGCTTTTGCTCATACTTTTAATTGACCTGTTATTCTTAGTGGTTCCTGGGGACCCACTGCTGACCTTTTTCTTGGATTCCTGTGATGTCCCAGCCAATATTTTGAGGGTTTTTAATTTTAGCATATTGGACTCCGGGGAGTAGAACATGTTGGTGTCCCCATGTTTTTCCATGGGCTCCCAAATGGGTTCTATCGAGGCCATCATGAATCTCTGTACATCTGCCATACCAGAGGCAATGTTTGACAAAATATAGGAAGGCTCCTGAAATTCCCGTTGGTCATCATCAATGAGGCTGTTGTTGATATTGGTGCCCATGCTCATGTCATTCCAACCCAAGTTATTTTCTTTTCGCAAAGGCCAATCTCCAGAAAGTCCTTTCTGACTTGACATCTTCATAGAGGCCATAGGACCACCATGTTGGGCACATTCAGCCAGTATCTTTCCAGTGGAGGCTATGTTGTTGACTTGGGCTCCTCCATGGCCAGTGCCAATTTGCAATTTCTCTCTATTGATTGCAGTTATGTATTTTCCCTTTTTTGTTGACTTAGAGACCTGATGGGAGGTTTTGCCAGGTGGTTTTTCAGTTCCTTTGTTGTTGCTTTTTGGAGACTTTTTCCTGGTGTTTTTCTGAGAAGAGTTTTGATTCACAGACCCACTCTTATTGGGTGAACTCTTTTTTCTTGATTTTGACACCTTGTTATTGGAATTAATTTGACCAGGTGGCTCATTAAATGTTGACAGGCGAGGCCTTTTTTGGAGCAAGCTGATGGAATCCTCATCATTGAACATATGGAACTGGAACTGATGGTTACTTAAGGTAAATTCCTCATCCACTTGGACGTGCTGTGAAAGTGTACTGCAGTCCCACTTGATTCTTTCCATTTTACCTAATGGTCTTGGGACGCTCTCTTGGAACTCCTTCAGTGTTTCTAGTGTTTTGATACTTTCACATCTGGTTATTTGAGGGGAAAGTCTAGGGGTATCAGGTGGTGATATTTCTGAGAGGGAAGAGTGGCGAAATTTGTCAGGAGTGAAGTTGGAGATATCCAAGAGATCAGTAGACTCCTTTAATGGTGCTATTTCATCAGTGCTTTGCTGGGTCACCAGCTTGGGGCTGCAATGAACCAGGAAGTCATCGTTAATATCAGCATCAGCATCCTTTTCACAGGAAGCCAAGCTTAAAGAGGAATAATTACTTGTGTTTATAGTGAGTGAGGCCATTGAATCAAAGCTGAAGAGAAGACTGTCATCCATATTTACTGTACCCTGCTGGAAAGGAAAGCAGATCTCTCCATTATTAAGGTGATATAGTTGATAAGAGCCATCAGACTGGAGCTGAGTGTCTTGCATGGAGGTATATAGGACCTTATTGCAACTATTGCCACCACTATTGAGGCAGATTGCATTATATGTTGTAGCTGTTAGGCTATTTTCTGTTGGGACTACTTGAGAGACTCCAAATTCACTGGATTGGGTTGAAGCTATCTCCCTTGAGACTTCAGTCATTAATTCTTGGGGGCTAGAAGTAGCCTTGTCAGGCCACACATCCTCATGGTTGCTTGGTTCCATTTTGAATTTATGGGGTGACTGCTGCAGCTCAGTCTTAGAAGATGTGGAGGGTACACAGTGCTGGGTAGGCTGAAGAGGTACAAATGATTTTTCTGTTTGAGTAAAGCTAGCTTCATTTTGCTCTGCAGAATGGTGAGTAAAGTATGAAATACTGGTATTACTTGACAAGTCAGAAGCATCTAACAATGTTTGCAGATATCCTCCAGGGATAACAGGTATTTTGGTAGAAACATTAGCAGATGATAGAGGCATTTCAGAAGAGCATGTCGTTGCTAAGAATGTAGAATTCTTCACATTTACCTCAGATATAAATTCAGATAGATGGGTACTGTCTGTGTTCCCAGGAACAGCTTCTTTCTTTACTTTGGTCTTGGAGGATTGTTCTTCAAAGACAGGGCTAATTTCAGCAATTGGCTTGCTTTCTTGCTCACCATTGTTTTTCTTGGATTTTAACCTAGCTTCACTTTTAAATTTTATTTTGTTGAGAACTTTCCTCTCTAGTCCCTTAAACTTTGTGTCTTGAGATTTGACTTTTTCTGTGTCAAGATTTGTAATTTTATTTGTGCATCTTGGGGTAGTCAGAGATACAGGCTTCAATGAAATTTTCAGGCATCCATCTTCTCTATGATTACCTTTCTTCTGATCACTGCAAAATAAAATCTGCTTACTACTTGCTGAAGCTTCCATGGATGAAATTCTTTGAATCCTATGTCTGTTGCCATGTTTAGATTTTCGTTTGCGAATAGGTGATAAGAATGACAACTCAAAGCTCCCTGGTTCAAAGGTTTGCTTTTGGCATAAAGATATCTTGATGGAGTCTGTATTGCTATTTCTCTGCTTCTTCTTTTGCCAGAAGCCTTTCAAGGGGGCCAGTCTGGCATATTTGTTGAGTTGATTCTCACTCAAGTTTACTGTTGTTTCACTGGCATCCACCTTACTTAACTTCACCAGCATGTTCTTCTCACCTTTAAAACGATTGATGATGATATATTTTATAATAACAGGGGGCTCCTTGCGAGTTACTTTTCTTCTCTTTTTGGGACACCATTCATCATCATCTTCCTCTTTGGAACCACCTGGAAACCATTCTTTTCTCTCATTTATTTTTTCACTCTCAAGTGAGTCAACATCATATAAATAATCTTCACTATATCTGACTTTTCTCTTGGCTCTCAGCCCATAGTTCTGTTGGGAGGAGGAGCTACTGGAAATAGTTTCCCGTGCCATATAGTGACTGTATTCTTTGATTTCCCCCATAGCATTATATGAGACTTCAATGAAAGAGCTCTCATCACTGAAATTCACTGAGTCCGCCAAAGAATTCACAAGGTGACCTTGCTTTGAACTTTTCCACTCTACCTCAGCCTCATTGCATGGTTTATTCAAGGCAGAGTTTTCTTCATTCTCCTTTCTATCTTTTTTCCTTATGTCTTTGTCTTCCTGCCCTTCCTTTCCTTTCTTCTTTTCCAAGCTTTTTTCTTCTTCCCCCCAAATGATGTCAGGAACCTTGAATTGGGAAAATTCACTGTTCTGCTTCAGAATTCCACTCTTAGACTCTCGTTTGGGACAAGTAGTAAACACATTGGGGAAAAAGTTGAATTGGGCATCTTCTTGCATAAGAAGGGTAGTCTTATCTCGAACATTGTCCTGGAAAGACTCATATCGAATTTTAAGAGAGCACACATCACTATCCAGCGTGGACTCGTCATCATCAAACATGTAGTTATCCACATCTTCTTCAGAGAATAGGTTGACAGATAGTTCATTCTTGGAACAGAGGTCAAGCAGTTCAATTTTACTCTCACTAATGAAAGTTTCAAAGTAACCCCAATCTTGACTGGAATTTGCAAGCAAAGCCTCTTCTGTATTGCACTTATCCAAAAGTAATGCCTCAAAATAATTTTTCTGAGATGGATCCTCCATGTTGATGTCAGTTTTTTCCGCTTCTTGTTTATCTCCTGCCTTTGATTTTTGTAGGGGGAAGCCTAGAAGCTGGTCTGAGAGCAATTGATCTCCATATTTTGTATCTTCTTCTGCATTAATACACTGAATTCCTATACCAGAGACTTCACAAGTTTCATAATCCTTACTTAGGTCATCAACTTTTCCTGGTTCAGGATCTACTGACTCCTTGGATTCCATGAAGCAGTCCAAGCAAGTCCGGCTTGGCTGCATGAGGCAATCCCCATTCAGAGATGACATGCTTGCAGGCTCTGTTATGACAAATGGTGCTTTCTCACATTCACTGGGAAGTGACCATGTGTTCAGACCCTTTGTGATGCCAGATGTGAGGGAGATGGCATTAACAGAAGCACTATCAGCAGTATAGTCAGGTGATTCAATAAAGTCCAAAGGAGAAGGATTCTGTATACAGGGTTTCTTAGAAGGCAGGGACAAGAGACTCCTGGGATACATCAGAATCTCTTTTTGTACCACTGGTAAAGGCTGGATTGATTCAGCAGCTTCTAGAGCTGCAAATGACTTCATTGCCACATCCTGATCGTCTGGATCTAAAGAAAAGAAAAATAAAGACACAAATGAAGTTAAGGGTCTTAAACTAGACTCAAAGCTCTTGTTGCCTTAATTAGTTTCTAGCTCTTGAATTTATTATATAAGCTAAGCTTCAGCGTCTCTCACATTATACATAGAAACTACAAAGTAAAAGAACAATTCAGATTTTTCTATTGAACATTCATGTGAATGACAAACAATTATTTAGGTTTTACTTCTTCCTCATAGAAATGTAGAGTCTTTATCAGAAATTAGGAGAATATTGGACTGTTTGATTAATTGGATCATGAAGGTTTTCATGGTGAGAAAATGGAACTTTTCTAGTTTTGAGCCTCAGAACTCAGGTCTGAGAATGAGATTCAGTTTCATTCTTCTAATTCATGTTGTAGAAACCCTCATTAATCTCTCCATTAAATCTAAAGTTTCACATCAAAGCATAGTTCTAATTCATTGGAATTTTAAAAGAACTTAGGTATTCATGTGACAGAGACAATTTGAGAGGGTGAAGAAGTCAGATTAGTTAACTTCTTTTTTGTTTTTCCATTGTCGTGGAGTCAGAACCAGCTCCTAGCTGACCCTCTATTGAGTTTCTGAGGCTGTAAATCTCGCAGAAAGAGATTCCCCATATTTCTCTGGTGGCTTTGAACCACCAGAGAGGTGGGGACTTTGGGTTATCAGTGCAACTGTTTAAGGATTTGGTTATCAGATTTCACTAGTTAAACTTTTAAAGACCCTTTCAGCCCAATTACAGATTTGGTCAAATAAAGTTTAGGATTAACATAAATCACAGAGACAGCAATAGAGTCAATCTGACTCAATTTTTTTTTATCTTGAAATATACAGCAATAACAAAGGACTACTTATCATTAAATCCCCTTACCATTTTCTTCTACCTCATTTATCAGAGTGTTTTCTCCACTGGCTGAGGCAACAACAGACTTATCTTGTTGGTTATCCATGAATGTAGTAACCTCTTATTGTTTCATTCCAAGTCCAAATGCTGTCCAACCTGCACATTTCAAATATATAATATTGGTCATTAAATTTGTTTTATTCTGTGTTTTAGTCCTATTTCAGCTAGAATTCACTGCCATTGAATTACTTCTGACTCATGGAGACTTCCCGTCAGGTTTCTGAGGCTGTAAATCTTTATGAAAGGAGGCTCCTGTGGAGCAGCAAGTACACCTGAGCTGATGAATTTTATTGTGCTGTAGTCCAATAGATTTTGGGTTTTAAAAGGCTTATTGAAATTTATGTTTCCAGACTGGCTTCATTAGGTTTTGTTTCATAGTTTATGTCTAGTATGTAAGTCAATTTGGAAACTTACACTTCATTCATAGATCCAATTATTCCTTCAAGTTCACTGTACTATTTAAAACTGAAATCGGAGGAAACAAGCAAACTATCCCCACACACTAGAAACTAGCATAGATAACCTAATTGTTGTTGTTAAGTGCCATTGAGTCACCTGCAACTCATAATAGCTGCCCTGTCCTGAGCCAGTCTCACTGATTTCAACACACCTACCCCATTGGCCCAGTTACCATGTCAATCCCTCTCACACAGGTTCTTCCTCTCCTGTGCTGTCCCTTCACCCTTCCAAGCATGATGTCCTTCTTCAAGGACCATTCCCTCCTGGTCACATGCCCAAAGTTTGTGAGATGGAACTTCAAAATCCTAGCCTCCAAGAGAAACTTGGTTTCACTCTCTTCAAGACAGAGCTATTTACTTTCTTGGTGTTCCATGGTATGTTCAAGATTCTTCTCCAGCATCACAACTTGAAGACATATTCTTCTGTCATCCTTAGTCATGGTCCAGCTCTCTGATGCACAGCAAATAATTGCGAAGACCATGGCCTGGACTAGGTACACCTTAGTCTCTAGATCAACATCATTGCTTTTCAATAAACTAATTATGTCTGACCAATTAGAAAAGAAATAAAGCATAGTCCCTATTATCCTGAGGTAAGGTAGAGGTGGGTGTGTGTAGATTAGTTTTATTTCTGTTTCTCTGATTTCTTTAATTTCTATTTAAAATTA